TGAGAGCAGGGAGAAAACTCAGTGACATGTCAAGACCAGGGCAAAACTCAGGGGATGTCATTGCAGCTGTGGCACTGGGGGACCTGAGGAAGGGGACATGCCTTTGCCCTTGTCCCAGCATGCCTGCTTTAGGGAGGGGTGGTGAGACATGACTTATGCATCAGAAGACACATCCTGATCAAGAAACAAACTTCAGAGGACTAGACATGGGAGGTTTAGATGCAGGAGGATGGTTTATAGACATCTTCCTGACCAGATGAAGTGGACCAGATTCTGCCACCTTTTCCCACCTCCACCAGTATTTTACCCCATGGCTCACCCCCAGCCTAAAGCCAAATGTCTCCAACAGCCGTGAGGACATCTTGTGTTTAAAGCAGCCACGAGGCATCCACCTAATGGCCCGGGGCTGCTCGAGATGTGCTGCTCCTTGCTTTTCTCGGAAAGGGTTCTTGCAACATGAAAGAAGTGCAGGCAAACAAAGAGCCCCAGGGAGAGAAGTGACAACTGGCAGCTGGAGCTGGCGGGTGACTTGCCGAGTGACAGAGCAGTTGGGATCCTCGCTACTCTGCTACTATTTTGGAAACTTCAATAAACAGAAGAGGCCAGATCAATCTCTCAGTGCTCCAGCACAAACGCTGAGGAGCCCTGTTGACTTCGATGGCAACGGCAGCCTGAGACACCAGTTTCTCCATACGCACTGTGCTTCGTTTGGACCCCGAGCAAACTCATCAGAAATAGCCACTGAAAACATTATTAGCAGTCCACTAATTAGCAGGTCTCAGCTCCTCTGTTGGTGCAAGCTTGCACCAAGGAATTCACGCTCATTTGTGCAATGGAGAATATGACTGTTTAACTTCTGTGTGGGAGCTTTCAAGCAGCTGGAAAAAAAGTATGGATGTTTATATTTTTAAAAAGGGATTGTTTTTGCCGCTGTCAATTATTAATGGCTCTCAGGTCAGGCTAAGGAACAATGCCAGGGATAAATTACCCTGTATGCTATTCATATATGCTCTCCCCAATTGTTTCCTTCTGAACTAGAGGATTCACCTCGCAGTGAACTCCTTGGCGTTTGGAAGGAAAGGACTGATGAAGCAATGAACTCAGAGTGCCCGTTTATTTATGCATCGACATCTTTCCTACTTTGTCAGGTGTGTTTAATCAAAAAGAAGCAGGAAATGCATTATAATTATAAACATATTACTGCGCAAGAAAAAGGCTGCCCTTGGAAAGGATTGTATTGTTTGATAAACGGTTACAGTGAAAAAACACAGGCTTAACCTAGGAAGCTCTTTGCTGAGATCAAAGCAAAGCTGCCCGCCATCACAGGCTGCCTGTGCAGCAGGATTCAGCTCTGAGTTTGCAGCAAGGGAAGTGGAAGAAAGTGAAAAAGAAAATGCAATCATCTCCTCCCTTCCTTTTTTTTTTTTTTGCCTGAAACTTTTCCCCTAGTATAAAAAATGACTCAAACATTAAACATTTGCTGTTAAAATTAATAGAATTAGTGATGAACCCAGCTGAGAACACAATAATTAGGGCCTGGTCCAAAGCCCCTTGCTAAAGCCCGTGGAGAGACTTATTGTTTTCAATGGGATCTGGCTTGGGATCCTGGTGAGCCAAAGCAAAGATGGAGTTACGGCATAACCCTGGGAGATCCTGGATATCTTGCAGTCTTTCCATGTGACCTTGCCCAAACTTGCAAGCATTCCTTAATCCCGAGCACAGCCAAACCCAAGTCAGTAATCTGCTGCTGCTGCGAAAAGCAAAAGTCCTTCTGGGCTGTGAGACCAGGAGTGCTGTAGGTAAGACGCAGAAGGGGTTTATTGCCCTTCTCAGCACTGTGAGGCTGAGCCATGGCTCTGCACTTAAATAAAAAATAAACTACAGACGAACTGGAAATTGTCCAGAGGAGAGCAACAAAAATGATCAGAGGTCTAGAAAACATGACTTATGATGAAAGATTGAAAGGGCTGGGTTTGTTTAGTCTACAGAATTTGAAACATACTAATAAACTTTAAAGATGTAAAAAAATATATGGTATCAAAAAGGGTAATCGATTGCCCTTTATCTCTGTGGGAACGGCAGAAGGTACAGCAAAGAAGACTTAGGATAGATACTATTGAAAACTCAAGTACGTTACTTAGGGAGGGAGCAGAGTGTCTTTCATGGGAGATTTTCAATGTGTTGGACAAGTACCTGCCCTGAAGCACTGGGTAACTCACTGCCCCACGGAGCAGGCTGCTTTCAGCCGTGCGGTCCTATGGTTTCCATGATATGGTGACTGTTTTGGGACACCCAGGAATGAGACCTTGGAGGTGATGAGCCTTCACAGCACTCCCTGGCTTGAAAAAAAGCGGCAGGTGCTCAGCCCTTCTAAAAGTTGACCCCCAAATCAACGACACTTTCTTAAAACCCTCTTTTCCTTGGCTTCCATGGTTATTAAATAAAGAACAACAAATTCCCATCTCTTCATGGGGCCATCATTGTATTTGTGAAGTACCCTGCTGCTCTTCCATGGGGGATTCCCATCTAAGCCAGCGCTCAAATGCTCAAATATTAGGATGATGAGACCTCTGGAAAAGCCTGTGGTGACTCAGAAAATATTCCAGGTAGCGGTGGCCTTGCAGATCCCGCTCAGGAAAGTCCCCTCCTGACACTGGAGAAATGGGTATCACAATTGCAAAGCACTCAGGACGGTCGTAGGTATTACTCTATGTGCGCCAGGTGGTGGCCAGCACCTGATTAGAAAGGCAGCATCCCTTCACCCCATAGCGTCTGCCCCGGGGCTGCATATCCCCTGCCATGAAGCTGTGTGTGCTGCTGCCTCCCTGTGACTAAGCGGCTCTGCCGTCCCTCGTCTGCCTCTGTAGGGCTCAATACTGTTCTCTGGTTTCAACCCTTTTTGCAAAGGGCCCCAAATGCTTTGGTCAGAGTTTGCGTCAAAGCCAATTGACCACAAGACAGAAGTCTATCAGAAACCAGGCTTTGTATTTACTGCCCAGCAAACCCAAATTCCTTGAATTATGGGCATGAGGTGAGGAGTTTGTGAAGGGAAGGAGCACAGGTTTGCAGCCAGAGCAGAGCTGGCCATAGCCCTTGGCATCTCCAAGGACTTGGGGGTGACGTGAGGGCTCCCCGAGGGCCGGGGTAAGGATGCTGTGCTCAACGCTGCTGCGACTGTGCCTCTTCTTTGCAATTCCCATTTCCTGCCCAGCTACGGCTGTGCAGGGTACTATTTGGTCCCTGCATGAATGCTGAGAAAATCGCTAGTTATATGATACGGGAATTTAAAAAATCTGTTTGCTTCCAAGTGTAAATCAATGACTGTGGCAATGGTTTGCAAACATGGGGTTATGGCCTCAAGTCAGCTTTTTTTCCTTGGATCTGGGTACAGTCACGAGCCTGGCAGGAATCCGTGTCAGCTAAAATGCATGGCAGCAACTGATGTCTCCTGGAGTTTTGGAGCTGAGTGGGGTCACAACAGGAAGGAGTTTGGGAAGGCAGCACTGCGGTGTTCGGAATAAACATCTCCCCGGGGCAGACTTTCCATAATTGGCCATGGCAAGGCTTCTTTCTCCAGAGAGCTGGAGCTGGCCTGTGAGGAATCAGAATGAATCACTGCTCCGGTCCAATTTGGCAAGTGCTGTGATTTAGCCTTGCTTTGCATGGGGAAGAGATGATGATATAGACTGAAAGACAGAGGAGAAACGTAGCCAAAGGCTTCTGAGCTGGGAGATGACTTTGGGTTCCCACTCATTTTTTGCAGGTTTACTCAGATCCTTAGAAGGAAACCCTGGCAAAAAACGCTGGTACAAAAACAATTCCCTTTATCAACAACGCAGAGAGAACAATGGGGACTCCTGAACACAAAGCTCATACAAACAATAATAACCATTTTATTTCGCATTGTTAAAACAGCAGTTGATACGCAATTCTTCCTTCCAGCCCCCCACTTCGTTAACTGTTTCTGTCGCCCTTCTGCTCCCAGATACAGATTTATGGGAGGGGATCTTAGCAGTTGGAGTTGGTGTCCTGCAACGTGGTGGTGACCACGTGGCTGTGCAGCCTTCTGTGAAGAGGAGGGTTGAGCGTGGTTTCCTCATGCCACCCTGTACCCTTGGAAAAGTCCCACCTTCTTTCAAATATGAGGAAAAAGGGGTGTTGTTTCTGCCATCCTTTCTCTGGATGGTCATAAGTGCTATCTTTAAAGCTCCTTGCTATCTCAGCAATCTTACCAAGCCTGATGACCTCACAGCAGTTCACAGCCTGTTCAGTATCTGATGATTAATCCCCTCCCTTTAAAAGTATGCACTTAGTGGCAGAACCCCACAAAAATATTGGTGGAGCCAGAGCTGCTTTGCCAAGTGGCAGACTTAGACTTGCTCTTCTTGGAAAGCTGGTTTCCTGTCACTGGCTTTCTCTCATTGCTGTTTTCCAGTGGTTTGGAGAGAGGAGAAAGGGAAAAAAAAAAAGTTCCTCCCAAATACCTCTTCTTTTTTACATCCCCTTTCCTCCATGTGTCCTCTCTGCTATTCCAGATTTCAGGAATTCCATCAGCCAAAGGGCTTCCTAACTAATCCCACTGCTATCCCTGATGCAAAAGGTGAAGCAAGCTCCCTGCAAAACAAGATCCCTCAAAAAAGAAGATGCAGACAATCTTCATTTCTATCCCACCTTCTGCTCCTTCGGAAAGCAGACATATGGAACAAAAATCTTCCCTGCACTGTGAAAGAGCGGTAGCTCAGTAAAGTCAAATCTGCATCTTGGCGCAATGTAGATCCCTCGAAAAAGAAGATGCAGACAATCTTCATTTCCATCCCACCTTCTCCTGCTCCTTCGGAAAGCAGACATATGGAACAAAAATCTTCCCTGCACTGTGAAAGAGCGGTAGCTCAGTAAAGTCAAATCTGCATCTTGGCGCAATGTGAGAGTTCAGATCAAAGCATCAGCCTTTTGCTAATTTCTAATTTGATGTCAGGAACATTAAAATTTTATTTCTTATGAGATGACTACCATAGCTAACGCAGGTAGCTGCTGCTGGGCTGGCTACAAGACTAGAGCTTGGGGCTTCCTATTCTAAACACTGCCACCACTCGAAATGGAAAGCTTTGTCAGCACCGAGCAGCAAAGGGCCGCGGCACGCAGCTGAGTTTGCATGTTAACAAATGCAGGTTACCCAGATCTTACTTTCCCTGGAGATACCAGCATTCCTATTCACCTTTCATTTTAAAGTCTGTACAAGGCCAAATCCTGCAGCACGTTCTTACTCAGTATCTTTTTCCTGTTTTCAGCTGAGACTCTGGTCTGACTCTGCTGAGTCCTCTGGGTTGGACTTAGCAGCACCATATGCAATACTGGTCAGGCAAATACGGCATGAGCGCAAAGCTCATGACCTTTCTGGCAGACCATTTGGGGAATGACTAACACCGCTGGTGCCTTCAAGGTCAGGAGTTTGTGGGACCCCATGAGGATTCCCCATGTGCTCTCTGCAGTGCAAGGTGGGTCCTTTCTGGGAAGGAAAGCACAAAATGTCCTGGGAAGTACCAAAGGTCGTTTAGAGAAGGTTAGAACAGGGGACGCACTGGAGTGTAAGGCACCCATGGTCAAAGAGTTTGTGTGGCATTTTTCCCTTTGGTGTCCATGTGTCAGTCTCTGGGTCATAGCAGTCCAAGGAATCCAAGTCCTCAATGACATTGTCCGCGGTGAGACATCGTCCTCCTGTGACATACAGCTTGTTCTTGATGACAGTGGCACCATGATGCATTCGTCTGTCCTTCATGTCTGCACATTTAACAAACTTGTTGCCTTTTGTATCATAAGCAATTATTCTCCGGGTGTACCCTAAATGCAAAGCCAGAGGTGGAAGAGACAGATGGGAATTAGAGCTTATGGCCAGCAGAAGGAGTGATAATGTATTTCCTGCTAGTCTTCAATAAAACCTATTATACTGGTACATAATTTGGCAGAATTAAGATATCTAAGCTGGGAAGTGATGATGTGTCACAAGAATGCCTGTCTGTCTATCTTCCCTTCCTGTTTGTCCTCATCCTGTCTCATAGCACCTTGGCAGCCAAGGCTCAACGAGCACCATAAAACCCATCAGATCAGGCAAGCAACCTGTCACAGTTGGACCTTGCAGTTTTCTGCATGTGCCTTCAAATGTCCCAAAGTATTTCTTTTCATCCAACAGAATCCTAGAGCTTCACTCGGAAATACAGAAACCAATGGCACGTGGGAAGGGAGCAACAGTGCCTTGTTGGGTTGGAGTCATAGTTGTCTACTGAATGGAGCTGGGTACGCAACAGCACAGTGCCATCAGTGTTCTCTCCACTCCCAAAGCCCTTGGCACCGTGTCTGTGCTGGTCACCATGCCAGTGACCCAATGAACAGCTCTTCCACTGAGGGGTGATGTAACCCCGCATCTGCTGAGAGGTAAGGGCTGGTGCCAGGGCCATTGCCCTGAAGCAATGGAGGTGTGAAAGCTTGGTACCCAGCAGTACCTTGCCCATGTATTCCTGTAGATAATCAAGAGTGCCCATGGCAAACAAACTGCTTTGGGCCATGTTTTGCACACCTTGAAGCCACTTTCCCTAGCAAAAATCAAGGCCTGTCTTTCTTAGGCCAACCCACTCCCCTTTGTTATGACGTGACCAGTCATGTGAAGAGGACCTGAAATATGATGAAAGCTATTTTTAAGAGAAAACATTATTTTTGTGGGTTTTACTGTTGTTGATAAATTAAGAGTGTTTGGCCAATGTTCTGGCATGGAAGCTGGTAAATAAAACCTGACCATGGTGAATCTCTTTACTTTCAAGCAAAATGAAAGATGTTTAAAATTAACATGAATTTCTGTTGCTTTTGTTAGATAAATAAAAAATAAATTGAGAACTTAAGCTCAGCAGCAGCAGACTTGGGTCAATACAGGCCCTTCAGATTAATGCATTTGAAGATAAGAAAGTTGAAAATACTGTATTTTGGGCGCTGTGGTCTGAGGTCAGGGTAATCTGCCACACTGGAGCCTGATAGTCTTGGACCTTTTGACTCAGGCCTCCCCTGTTCTCACTGCAAAGGGTAGCAGTGGCCTCCTGCTGAGAGATGACACCATGTCTGAGTCCTGTGTGATTTGGGTTCAGTCCTCTGCTCTGCTAAAGCTCCCCTATGTCTCATTTTCCCTTAAATAATCTAACACATACTTCTTCGTGCCAGCCTGTGATCAGGGGAGTTGCATTAAGGACTGTAGAGTGCCAAACTACCAATGACGTGATCCATCAAAGTGCCACGGGCAGAGGCTGATCCTCAGGTTGAAAAAGACACTGAGAAGTTTCCCCTCTCCGAGTGTTTCACGCCCCTCTCAGGACATTTCACAGTTACCCCCAGGAGGCAGCTAGAGGACCGATCGATCCCTCATAGCCCTGTAGCCCACCCATCCCAACAAGCTGCCCATGGCCTTGTGGTAACCATGCTCTCCACCCTTCCAAGAAGAGCAGTCAGGGAGGGCCAGGCTGTGAGTCAGCAGGGGAGGAGCAGGACCCCCATGCCCTTGGCTTCCTCCCTTCTTCTGCAGAGCGGTAACTTGCATTGGCTTTTCCCCAGTTTCCTCCCACCCAGGTCCTGCTGCTTGGAGTAAGAAGGTGCCTCGTGGAGAACTTGTCCCCAATTCCATGGCCATGAGACCCCATGAAAGATGTGTATGGAAGGTGGACACACTCCTTTCCTTCCCAAGCTACATGTGCTTTTTGAGGGAGAACCCCAAGCAGGAAGGCTGCAAAATCCCACAGGAGCTGGCAGGGAGAGGTGGGAGGGAGCGTGAAACAGAGCCCTTACCACCTACGATGATAATCTGGTCTCCAATCATGACAGCTGGTGCACAGACATTCTTCACCACTCTGGTCTCCATCCGAAACCACGTATTCCTGGAGACATGGTAAACCTGACAAATAAATAAAAGATACACACGCAGCTGTTTATGTTGCATTTTAACTGGCAATTGTAATTACAGAGGAACTTATGTTTTTTATTTTGTCCTAATGAATACAATCCTCTGGCTTGAACTGCTGGAAATCTGAGAATTTACCCACTTTTTTTCCTAATATGTCCCCTTGGAAACCGTTCTAGTTCTCCAGGCTTGTCTGCTCAGGAGATGCTAGCACATGCACTAGGGCAGAGTGTATCTGTCATATGCAAGCTTCTTGGCTGTAAATCTTTGCATGGCCATTAAATCACTGTAACTCCTGGATAATGCTCTCCCAAAGTGCAAGCCATTTAATTTCATTTTCCAGTTATTCCGTGTATTCCTGCCTTAGCCTTAGCAATTTCCTGGGCAAACAAACCTCAACTTCACCTAGCTCTGCTGGCAGCCACTGTGTTTGCCCAGCTGCTATATTCGTGCTGGTGGCTGGTATGCACTCAGATTGGCAAAGGGACTTGTTGATGGGACTTAGAGTAGTACCTAAGTCATCAATTTATGTGAGAAAAAGAGCTGTTGCCAGATGATGATCATTCAGTCACCTGTATCTGGGCGATGCAAACTTTATGTCACGTCATCCGCTTCTTAATATAGCAAATATCTCCAGGACATCTCCCCACTAACTGATAAATATATTTCCTTCCTCCTGATAATCAAGTAGCATTATCCCTGTAAAGAAGTATTGTTCATGTGCTGGCTGCCATCTTAGCCTTTAATGATCCTTCTTAGTTAAAACACCCAAACCAGTGAAAAACACTCATGGGGAAAGTAACACTACAATGTTGCTAAAGCATCAAATCAGATAAGAAAGGATTTCATGTATTTTTTCCTCCTAATAGAGTGTAACCGCTGAAAACAGGCAGAGAGCCAGCAACATGTGGCAGGAGCCACATTTTTAACACAACTGTTTATATGAAATAACTGTCAGTTTAAGTCCTGGCCCTTTGATGAGTGAGAATCTAATCACTCTAATGATTGCGAATCTTTGATTTTGCTGTGGGTGAGCAGGTGCGCCGCTGAGACCCCAGCTCGGCTGCCAAGTGGAAAGCGCTGATTTCGGTGAGATTGGCTACAGGCATGAAGCCAGGCAGGGGGGGTCGGCCGCTGCCTGCCCTAGCATCACCTGCAGCAGCCCTGGCCCCAGTGCCTACCAGTGGCAGAGCTGACTGACACCCAAAGAAGTACCTCGGGGCTTGTGCCTGAAAAACATTCAAAGGGGAAAATGAAAGAGTTGCAATGCTCCTTGCAGACAAGACTTCCCTGAAGCCACGTGTCAACTCATCCTGCCTCTTGCTGCAACTCACAATAAAGTTTTTTGGGGGGTTTGATTTCCTCACGAGGGTGATGAACTGCTGAATACCTTAGATGAAACTGCCTATGACAAGCAGGACTGACCATTACCTGGATCAGCCGGACAGGGTTTTGCATAATGTCTTCTCCCCCAAAGAGGTAGACCCTCTGATCTTTGGCAGCAACAGCAGGGTGAAGGACAGCAACAGGCATGTTTGCCATGCTCTCACAGGTGTTGTAGATGCTATCATATCTTTCCACAGAATTCAGGATTTCCTGGTTTTCACCAATTCCACCGAATGATAAAATATAATTTTTATATGCCAAGCTTCTGTGGGAGTAACGTGGAACTAACATGTGCTCAGCCAACCTCCACTGATTGAGTTTGAGGGAGTAAATGTAAATATTATCGCTGACCGGGCTTTTCATATTGCTAACAGGCATCCCTCCGAGCACATAAATATTGCTGTGTAGGCTCACTGCAGAGGCTTTGTACAGGCGCACGGGAAGTTTGGCCAGGCTTAGCCATTGGTTTGTCTTGTCATCATAGAGCAGGACATCCCTCGTGGTCTGCTGGCTGTCCTTCCTGCCACCAATGATGATGAGGAACTCTTGGCTGGAGTACCTGCGAGGAACATGCAGCATGGGCTTGATGTCAGGCGCGTCGGTGCTGTACAAGGAAAACATATGTCTCCGGGCTGACTCAAGGATGCTCCTGCAAGTGGGTGAGGACTGAACGAGGGAGTCATTGGCAATGAAGTGGAAGAGGAAAGTTGGATGGACGTACTGAAGCCGGACCTTCTTGAACAACTCTTGGATGTAGCCTTGTCTTGCCTGGAGGTCATGCCTGATCCAGACCATCAGTGTCTCAAAGACCTGCTCCTCCTCCCCGCAGAGCTCATCATCCCCAAGGTAATCAATGAGCTCCAAGGGACAAAGGTCCTTCAAGTCCTCAGAAGAGGCCACCTCAGGAAAGCATTTCAAAGCCATAGCCTTGGCTTTCTTACTCAGGTTTTGGCAGTTCAAGACTTTTGCCAGTCTGATCATGCTCAGACAGTTGTCAGGAGTCAGCTTGTCTTGGAGGTAGGCAGAGCAGGCCTCAAACAGCTTAGTGTACTGCAGCATGGAGGCCGTCTCCAAGAGGCACAGGACATTCTCAGTGGATATAAGAATCTCCCCTGTGTAAACGTAAAGGATAATCTGATCCAAAACCTCAGCATCGATGCCCTTCAGGATGACTTTAGCCTGGCGACTCTCTCTGAAGTCATTACAGAACATCGCCTTGAAGTACGGACTGCTGGAAGCCAGCACGTTTCGGTGGCAGGGGATTTCGAAGCCCCCAGAGCAGAGGGTAACATCAGTCAGCATCCCGCTCTGCCGCAGAGCATTCAGCTGCCTCAGCAGTTCAGAGGAGAAGTCCTGGTCTTTGAAGAGAAACTCCTCAGTGGATCCCTCCTCCATAGCAAAATAGGAGAGAGATGAATTCTGGACTTGGCAGAAAAAACCAAATTCTTAGCAGCTTTTATTGAAATATCCAGCTCCAAGGGAACAAATCGGGACTTTGATGTTGCTCTAAATATCCATTCACTGTTATGCATAAAAATGGAACATGGGTTAAGCACAGTGGGAAAATAATAAAGAAGCTAAAAGGTCGCTAAGACCCTTTAAAATTTTCATAAAGTTATCAGATAAGTTGCAGCTCTGAGGTCAGCACTGCCTGTGTCCCTGGCAAGAAGCAAAAGCACTGAAGTTATCTCACTGATTTGGGATGAAAGCTGGACAGCTGAAGCAATTGGTTTGTTCGTTTTAATCACGTTGAATAAATGTGCTTAGACATTTATTCACTATTTTAAAGTATTAGCAATTTAGTAGCTTGCGCCTCTTTCCCCTAGAGTTAGTCACTCCCAAAGAATGTAAATCTGGCAGAGCTGAACTCTGCAGCAGGGCAAACGAAACCCTAGAGACTGGGAATCTGCATTAAAACGGTTATTTATTAACTCTGCTTAGCTGTGGGGTTTTTTATGTTAATCAGACACACAATGACTAAATTAAGTGCCAGGCAGAACAGTATGATGAGTATCTATTGTCATGGCTAACTGCTCAACCTGCAGTGAAACGGTAGGGTAGAAACGTTTACCTTCTGTTGTCCTTCACTGCATTCACTTACTCTCTGTCGTTTATTCTCTGCTGAGATTTTCCATAGCTAGAGCCTGGATAAAAACCTATAAACCCACAGGACGTTTCTTTCAGTAGGTAAGTGATTCATAGAGGGTGATTGCTGGATGTGTTTATTCTGAAGTCACTTTTGCCGCTTTCAGGAGCTGTGCGCAGGAGCGGCGAGGCGGTGGGGCATTGTATACATTCCAGTGCTAAGAATAGGCGCACACGGGCTTCTCGCTGTTATCACATGTGACGCCGCCGTTGCCTTTTGCAATGACCTGGCCGGTACTGAGCATGCCCCAGTGGTGTTTTTCTGGCAAATGTTTGCACATAATAAATAGACACGGAGAGGAAAGTTCACTTATAAAAGTCCTGGCTGTCCATTTGGAAACAGCGGCAGAACCCTGTCCTAAAGTGCCTGGGAACTCTAGAAGCCCGTAAACAGTCTGCAGCGCCTCGTGCTAGGTAATGCGCTGTCACTGTAGTTTCATGGAGAAAGAGGGAGAGAGAAGGGCTTCCAGGGACCCCAGTGGGACGGACTGTGACTCCACCTTATGGAGAGATCTGGGGAGTGTTGCCCCATTGCAGTCTGGTGGGAGATGCTGATGCATCGGGACCCCTGCGCCCAGGCCTGCCCCAAGGTGGGCAGGGAGAGCCCAGCTACCTCTGCCGAGTAGCTACTGAAGTTCACTCTTGGAGCAGTTTATCTTTATGATGCTGCTTGATATTTCATATAGAAAATATCAGGTCGTGGCCTTTTGTGTAAGGACCTCAGCTCTCTGAAACCCTTAGCAAAGAACTTCTCAAGCAGGTGGCTTGAGGAAACTCAGTGTTACGGGTGGGAGGACTGGAGTGGGTTGCTGAAGTGAGTGCAGCAAGCTGGAAACCAGGGTCCCAGGGTGGCAGGTCCCAGGGTGGCACTTAGCTCTCTAGGGCAGACACCTTGATGGGGTCCCTAACTGCAGACGCCTGCACATGAACAAGGTGTCTGAGCTCCTTTTGCAGCCAGTGAGGTCTAGTCAATACAACCAAGTCTGCCAAGTTATTCAGGTCACCAGTAAGTACCACCTATATTTGGGCAGGTGAACAGTCTTCCAGGCACTGCTAGGTCTCCATAGGTGCTCAGCTGTCTCAATCACATGTAGGTGTACATTTTTAATACTCCCATGTAGGTATCTGTGATGACGAGCCTAAATCCATCCCCAGGGCTGGGATCAAATGCCTCGTGCCGGCGGAGGATCCTCCACAACCCCCGCTGGCCCCCGGCCGGGGTTTCCAGCAGGTCCAGTGTGATGTGTCCCAGCTCTGTGCCAATTTCCTGGGTGTTTCAAGAAAAATGACATTGGCTGCCCATGCCTGGGTAACAGGATTGGATCCCTCATCTGTGCTGAAATTCCTCCCTTTGTTCTGGGATGGGATTGAATCCAAAATGTTGTTTCTAAGCATCACTACCACAGGGAAACACAAGGTTAAAGCAAAACTCATACTTTCAAAGCCAAAGCTCACGGGTGAGTCATGTCTGCGTCTAGTCACAGCGAGGCAGATGAGTGAAAATCATTGGGAGTCACAGTGCCCTTATGTCAACTCCCGTGCCGTGCTGGTGTTTGCAGTCCTCCATATGTTCCTGCCCCCATGTCCACGGCCCAGCAGACTGCAGGGATGGGGGCAGCCTGTTCCTCTAAAAACAGCAGCTTTGCATCATGGGTCGTGCCGTACGTGACCTTTCCCAGAGACTTTTCAATGCAGCAGAATAGCATGGTGAAATGCCTGAAGGCTAGACAAAACCCTGAAGGCCCAGACCCATGTTAAAGACAGGGTGGAGTTCGGCTGGCATAGCTTTTTGGAGGCTGTGGCATCTTCCCTTTCCACACAATCTGCGTGTGTGTGTGCACACGCGTGTGTGAACGGCTCGGTGAAGTGAGGGAGGGGAAAGGCAGGAGCCACTGGACTTGACTCCTGCAGGTGAGTCATTTTGAGGGTAAACATGGCAATGTGCAGCCTTTTTCCTCTCCTTGAGTAAAAAGGATGATGTTGGGGCACTGGGGAAAATGCGCCCTCCCCTCCCTCCTCCCCGCTGCCGCTGCCTCACCAGCTGGCCATGATCTTGCTATAAATATTTAGAGTGGCATTAAAAACCCAAAGGAGAATTTCTCTCTCCTTGTCCAGAGAACGTTAGCTACCCAAACAAAACACCCTCTCTCTTTCCTTCTTGCTCTGTATGTATATGCTCTTGTTGCGGTCCATTTTGATGATTGATTTAGCTTTATATCTCTGTTCTGGCTCTAACTCTTTACTGCCTATTTAGTTCTGCCTCTTCCTGGCAGTGGCTGTGGATTATTTTTTTAACCCTTAAAGAAATGATGCTATCTGACTTCACTAATGACACTGTTTTATGGGATCAGGGAAGGGTAGGTGGGATGTTCTTCTGCTTTAGATACTGATAAACGTGGCATTTATTTAGAAGATCCCAGGCTCGAGAGCTTTGCACAGTTATGCAAACTCCTTCGAACGAAGAGTACAGCGTGTGCTGTTTAAACAGCTTATTGCTCTTTGGGGGGGGATGCTGCTCCCTGCTGAGCCCCTGCACAGGTCCCTGCCAATTTGGGGCCAAGGCTCCTGAGCAATGAAGCTCCTGCTGCCTGCTTTATAACTCTCTCTTCTTTCTTTCCCAGAGATTACGGTTTCAGACACAACTCGAACCAAGTGGGCACATCAGCACTGCTTAGTTAGGATTTCCTTTATAAATATACTAGAAATAATTTTTCATGGCATATCCTAGAACAGTATGTCCTATAAGACCCCTACTGCTGCAGCATGACCCCCGGTGAGAAGGAAGAGCAGTTTCTTTTGTGGGACAGTGTAACTTGTCTGAGAAAGTCTGTTTTTAAATGAGTTCTTGAGGCAGGTTTCCTAGGTTGGCATGCTATTGACTGAACCAGGTCCGAGTGGTCTTTTTTGGGAGGACAGGATACTGCATTAACCACGGGAGTGGGATGTTGCACGGGTAACAGGCGGGTCTGAGCACCATGTGCAAGTGGGAAAGTGGGCTCGTTCGCAGGTTACGTGACCCAGCAGCGCTGTGGGATGCGATGCTGCAGGTCCCCCATAGCCCTTGAGGGAGGCTAGAGCCACTGGGGGCTGCTAAAAACAGCGATCCTCTGCAACCGCTGCTGTATGAACTCCATCAATGGCCAGTTTGTAAAAAATGGAAATGTCTACCAAAGAACAATCACTTTGCTGCAATGCTGTATACTCACCCTGCTCCTTCTGGTCTCTCTCCTTAAGTGTTTGGGATTGCTCACTTCTGGAATTAGGATGGTTGAACCTTTGATCTGACCCACAGCAGCTCTTCTTATGTTTTAATGTAATGGGATGATGAAAGGTCTATTATCATGCACTAAGCAACAGAGTGGAAAAAAGCCGTAATCTAATCGGCCAGCAGACAGGTGCATAGAGAAGATTGGTGATGTCAGACAACTTCTAAAACTCATACACTGATCCTATTACAATTCAGGTGAAAATGAACAAATATGGATAAGGAAAAAGGACTGTTCAAGGCAGAGACTTCACTGAGCTTATTCAGTGTTACGTGCGTTGCCTCGATATCTACCAGCCCCCACAATTATCAACTGCCTGATCATCCCTTTCCCCAAATTTGCAGTCTAAATAGACAGGGGAACAAAAAAAATATTCCTTATTATGGTCTTTATAAAGCTGGGAGAGGGAACAAAACCCAGGATTAACATTCCTCATTGTAAAAAGGGACAATTACAGGGATCAGAATTGATCAGATGCCACAAGTTGGAGAGATGGGAAGATGCCCCAAGCAGCAGTGGTGGCTGGCTGAGGTGACAGCCTTCAGCCCAGGATGGGAGAGCAGCCAGCACCGCCTGGGATGCTGCCTGCTCTGGCAGTGTGGAGCTTGGTTGGTGGGCCCTGACCAGGGTAAGATGCGCACCTCACACCATTTCGTGTATGATAAACTGGAGGGGAGAGGAATACGGGAGCAGAAAGGAAGACAAATGTGTTGGGGAACTATTAGATTTATGTATTGCATGTTTACACATGCATGTAAACGTATATAATGAATATGTGCATTGAAAGAGCAAAGATATGTCTATACTAGCAAATTACTCTCAAGAGATAGCATGCATAGGGACCTTCCTACTCAACACATATGTCTGTATCTCACCCAGCTGATAACACCACCAGGAGAACTAACTCCACTTGTGATGTCTGAGTCAGACCTGTGAAGGAGATGTTTCCCCACACCCAGCACCTGGTTTTGGACTCATCCTGATACTCCCCACTGAAGCAGCCTCCCCGAGTCCTGTTCATGCTCAGCCGGAGCCCAGTGTGGATTTACTATCTGCTTCACTGGATTGGGAAAACAGCCCTTTGACCCTGTCCTCTAGCTCCCTGGTTGACATCTCAGGTTCACTGAAGACAATGAAACTCCCCAAGCTGGCAAGTAGTGGAGAAGACATTGAAAAGTAAACAGAATCCAGTGTGAATATGGGGAATTGATGGACAATCATATGTGACAATAAGATGAAGTCCTTCGTGTTACTTCAGGCAACAGAAATACAATGACTATTCCACATGGCACTGCCAGGTATGGTCTCCTGCTCACAAACTACCTAATTCTCCTAGAGTCATGGGAAGATCGGGTTGGGGAGCCCCTGGGAGCTCACCTAGTGCAACCTCCTCCTCACAGCAGGGCTAACCTCAGAGTTAGATCAGGTTGCTCAGGGACTTGTCCAGTTGAATTTTTGAAATCTTGAAAGATGGAGATTTCACAGCCTCTCTGGACAACCTGCTCCAGTCCTGAACCG